CTTCCAGTCCAGTTTCCTCAAACTTTTAATTGTCTTCACGTTTTCCATATCTAACCTCCCAGGGGCTTCTCCCTCCCTGGCCACACTCAAATCAGCTTGTCCAGAAACCAAGCACAAACACCACACAACGCTGCTAAGACTCCAGCCCGTGTCTACTGGAAGCAGACAGCCATTTCCAACAGGACGGAGGTGGACAGGACAGGCAAGAGCGAGCCACATGCAACGGGAGGAGGAATAGAATGGATGGTGGTTGGCACCAATGCTTAGCCTTCATGCTCTGAGCGACCGGGCAGCTGCCCCAGCACACCTATCACTGATGATCCACAGAGTGTCCGAGGCCAATGGATTTAGGAGGGAAGTGGCCCTCTGAGTACAAAACTGGGAAACTTGTTAGATTTGCTAGAAATAAATAAGCCACTAGTAATAAAACACAAACCAACCCCTCCATACCTTGACAACAGTTAGGTAGCTAGTGTGCTGAGACCACTGTCTAACATGCTGATTTGTATTATCTCAATGTCTCCTTGTGCTTCCCCACCTGTTGTCTCTCATCTTACACTTCTATTGTAAGCTCCTTGGGGCAGGGACCCTTTTTTTTTGTTCTGTGTTTGTACAGCGCCCAGCACAATGAGGTCCTGGTCAAGGACTGGGACTCCGACTCCGGGGTAACACACACAAATATAGCAACAACAAATCACACATACAAAAATCGTATAGAAACTAAACTTTATATATGATAAAATAATGACCGACTACATCTTTTTTGTTCCTCTCTCTTCTCTCCCTATTCTCCATCTTCAATGCATCTTTCTTTCAAGTCTTTTTCACATTCTGGATTTTCCCCACCCACGTTTCTCTATCGTTTGGCATCATTTGTTCGTGTTTCAGTTCAGCTTTTCCCCTCTCAATGCCCCGATATAGCAAAACACTTAGGTAGGTGCTTAAACGTTAAGCATATGAGCAATTCCACTGACTTTCAACAGGAAGACTCATATGCCTCAGGTTAAGCACATGCTGGGTCCCAACCTAACCACCCCTCTTATATTTCTTTTCTGATCTGACATGTCTCCCACTGTCTCCCTTTAATATTCTTCCTTTCTCTCACCTTCCTCCCCACCATTAGCCGTCTCCCCCTCCATTCCAGGCATAGAAATATAACCAGCAGCGAGCAGAGGTCTTACCAAAACCAGACCAGCCAGCACTATGGGTTTGCCCCACCGACTATACACTTATAGACTTCCTTTGGGGAAGTCTGCACCCGATTCGCGGCCCTGCCCTATTCCCTCGCCTGCCTCCTGGAAAGGGCAGCAAATCAGAACAGCTGCATGTGCTGAGGAGCAGCTCAGTCACCCAGTATTTGGAAGCTGGAGTGCTCCTGTTGCGATCAGTTTTCCCTCAGAGCCAGCTGGAGAGCACAGGCAGGCTCCTAGGGGTGGGATACAAGGTCTTGGTGAGTAATAAGGGCTATGAAGTACATGAAAATATAGACAGCAGCCAGTAGAGACAAGATCTGAGGCCATGGTCTCCTCCTCAAAGCATTTTCCCGTAGGCTACAGCACATTTGGTGGAAGTCTGTCCCTCCTCCCCTTGCCTGCCTTTGTGATGCAGTGAAACAGGCAGCCTGATTCAGCCAGAGTGGAACGTCCTGCAAAATCCAGGATGCTTGAGATGTCCAGCTTTACAGGCATGAGTTAGTGCAGTGCCCTTGGGAAGTGGGTCTGTATCACTACCCCAGTTGTAAGATAAAGAACATGAGTTACAGGGAGGATATGTGCCTTGCCTAAGGCTAGACAGTAAGTCATTAGCAGAGCTGGGAATGGCACTCAGGAGTCCAGCCTCCCCCCCTCTATTTCCTTCGCCACGAGACAGCATCTTCCAGGTCCTCTGCATACTGCTCACAGACTCGCTTCCCAAGAGCTAGAAGGGCATGCCTGCAGCTCATTGACTAGGAAAGCAATTGAAACAAAACTCTCTTCACAGTCCTTTCCATCTCATAGAACAGACTTAATTGCTCCCATTACAGTTAGTAAATTGACCGATGGTACCACAAGCAACTTCCAAGGAAGAAGCTTCTGAATCATAACTGGGTCTGCCCAGAGCTTCCCATGCCCCAGTGGAGGTTTCTTTTGGGATTAACCCATTACTCACAACCGATGCAGCAGGGGAGAAATGGAAGGGCTAGTGCTGAGCAGTGGGGAGGATAATATTCCACTGGATCTCACAGTGGACATACCAGGTGCATTGCATGGTGCTGCATCTACCTCCCAGCTCACTGTGGTATATCGGGGGCCTTATCCAAGCAAAATCAATGGGAGTCTTTTCATTGACTTCAGTGGGCATTGGCTCAGGTGCTGAATCAGCTACAAAGCGGGGAATGGAACAGGACAAGCCACTTGGACTGAGGAGTAGTGCCCATCCATCGACTCCCCTCACACAATTCTGCTGACACTGTCTTTACAGCCAGGGGGCCAAATTCTCTGCTGGCAGAAGTCGGTGCGATGCCACTGACTCAAATGGTGTTTTGCCCGCTAATGCCAGGGCTGAACATGGCCCATGGATGTAGCTGGGCTGCATCCCCGCAGCCTGAATCCCCACCCACACTGCATGAGCGCCCCGAGCTGTGAATGGCCTGGCAAGAACACACACCCAGGAAAATGCTCATCAGGGGGCACCCGGCAATAGCCGCTCAGCTTCCTGCAGCTGCTCAGCATTCCAGAACTGGAACTGAAACCCTCAGGCACAGACACACCTTCAAACGCACGCTGGAGATAGCAAGAGCTGGACTGGTCGGCTCAGCCCAGGAGCATCCGCAGCACGTGATCCTGTCTGCATAGGAAGAGCTCTTGCCTTAGGCAGGCTTTTGAACGAAAGCCCTCGAAAGCTTGCCTCCCTCTGCTGTCAGTTAACAGCCATTTTACCATGTTCAGCTGACAGGGAATCACAGGGAACCATCCCTCATTCCTATTAGGGGATCTTGGCCCTCTCAGCCGACAACGCAGGGTTGTTTCCTAAATATGATGACTATTGTTTAGATGATGGTAACATTTAGAGGCCCAGCTGGGACCAGAGCCCCGATGTGCTGGGCACTGCGAACACACATAGTAAGAAAACAGTCCCTGCCCTGACGAGTGTATAGTCTAAACAGACAGGACAGACAAAGGACACACTATTAATCCCATGTTACAGATAGGGAAGTAGGCACAGGGATTAAGCCACTTGCCCAGCGTCACACCAGAAGTCTGTGGCAGAATCAGGAACCGAACACAGATTTTCTTTGTCCCAGGTCAGCACCTCAAGCCACAGGACCATCCTTCCTCTCTCAACAGTGGTAACATACTTTTCTTATGAACACGATCTCATGCCTCATAAACAAGTGTGACACGAATCATGAATTGTCTACAACGGCCCACGATAGCCCTGGAGTAAACAGGCCCACCTCACGCTTGGAAAGACAGACTCCACATCTGAGCAGGGGTCTGGAAAACACTAGTACAAGTCCCCGGGAACTGATCAATGCCTAGTGCTTGCCTGTATCTAAATAGGAAGGAAGGAAGCCCACACTAGAGGAACTATGCAGTGTGCGCCCAGCATTTGCTAGATAAAAGTGATCCCCAGAACAAACCGATCGTACTCAGTTCACAGAGAAGTGCAGTCTAGCTTTGGACAGCTGCTGCTCAGGGGCACTCGCCCAACTCTAGAAGCAGCCAAGCTATAGCAGAAATGAATATTGATTTGTCACAAGCAAGCAGGAGACGTGGAAGCTGTGGCCGTCAATTTCAGCATCAGAGTCTGGATTTGCAAGCGACATTTCTGCCTCTGCTTGTTTGGGTGGTGGAACTGTACGTGGCGGAGAGATGGCTGGGACAGCAGCAGAGGCTGTGTAATTTATTATAGGAACAGAAGCCTTGGGGATTGTTCCCTTGAGTCAAGCACACCCAGTCCACAAGCACAGCCCCTGCACCCTTAGTTCTAGCACCTCTGGTTTCTGATGTCATGGAGACATGACCTCCCGGGTTGTTCATGTTCGGAGGGACATGGAAACATACACGTGATGAGTTAGTTGTGCCCAAGGATACACTGAAAAATGTGGGGTGATCCTTGAACAGCAGGTATTTGGTGTCTCCTATATTGTATAACATGCTACTAAATGTACATCCATTTCTGCTCTAGCAGAGGAGACGCAGAATGTCCCACATGGTGCAAACTTGCCCCTACTGTCAAGTTTTGAAATAAAGAGTCTTTCTACAGTGCACAACCAGCGAAGGTCACCAGTGCATAACTTCAACCCCCTTCCCAGCTGGATAAAACTGCTCCTTCTCCAACTCAAAATGTACATCTCTTCATACTCTTCATTCAAACTAGATTCATTCAGGTTCCATCATGGGCAATTAGGAATGGGACAAGAGTGTGGTTCTGCATTTGCGAACTCCTTTGCCCATAGGTTTTATGGCAGGAGTGACCATGCGTTGAGAACCTACCCCAATTCTTTGAAAAATGAGATGACATTGCATTATGTCATCATCACTGCCTACCCCACACTGCCCTTCTCCCCAGCTGTAGGGTTGCATGAGCACTCTGCCATATCAACACCTAGCTATCTGGTACAGTGAGCTTGGAGGTAATGTTGTAGCCATTCCAAGCACTAGGAGGCCCTAAGTTGCAGTGGGTCGCAATAATCACTCTGCCAACTGCTTCCAGCTATCATACTTCTCCCAGGGCTCTGAGACCCCCTGCCTCTGTGGCTCACTCCTCATAAATCATTCATCCACCCTGACTCTACTGACTGTTGCTGCCCTAGCACCCTCCTATCGGGGAAGAAGAGCAGCGGGAGATGCCCCCTCACATTTGACCCCTAACTGCTCAGCCAATTCGCCACAAGGAGGTTGAGATCTAGCTCCTCAGAGGTCTGTATAGCATGAACAATGACTAGTCCCATACGCATTTCACTTAACACACACACACCTCCAAACATGCTGCAAGAGAAGGTGATAGACACTTACCCTGGAAATGCCAATGATTTGTTCATCTGGGAGCAAGCTGATGCGCACAAAGCACGACTCAAAGTTGACGTCCTCCTTCTCCAGGAGGTCCTTCCCTTGCAGCAGCGTGACGTGCAGGGTGTTGGAGAACACATTGTATTCCATGTTGACTTCCACCTGGCCCACAGTGAAGTCTTGGCCAAAGTTATTCCCAATGGAGGAGATGGAGCTGAGGGAATCAGTGGACACGGATTTCTTCAGTGGCCCGAATGGACCCAGATCTAGGTCTTTGCTCATCAACTCTAAGGTACCCAGCTCATTGATGTTCTCAAAGGTGTCATCCATCTTCAGGCTGGGCTTGCGGACAGGGGACATCCTTTCTGCTGCCTTACGGAAGTTTGAGGCTCCACCTCTCTGCAGACATAGGAAAGGATAGAAGAGCTACTCAGGTTGGATTAACCCCTTCTCCTCTGAACTACTTCTTACTACATGTGAAACGAAGCAGATGGAGTTCTTAAGTGCTAAGGGGTCTAAATATGTAACTGCCATGGGATATGAAGATAATTCCTTAACAGAAGATCTATAGCATTAGGCTGTGGCACAGTCTCCCAGGACAAGTGCTTAGGTCATTTAAGAGAGACTTGATAACGCACTAGTTCATATATGCTATATATGATACGAAAGCCCCTTCTCATCCCTTTTTTCTCCCTTTCTCGTTTAGCTGCAGGGTAACTTTTCATTACTCAATTAAGTGACATGAGTCAACTAAGTGATACCTTAGTTATTTGTAAATATAAATATTCAAAACAAATCATTTTTGAAAATTTTCCATTTTGGAAGAAAAACAAAAAAAAAGATGAAAAAGAGACAAAAAAATGAAAACTAATTCATTTTTAAAAAATTGCAATTTCTTCACAAATCCATCCCCCTTCTGGTTTTTTGACCACCGCTAATACATAACATGTACCACTGCCCCCTACTGGGTGAACTATACTTGCTCAAGTGTCTGATCATGTTACCCAGTAGCATTTAGCCCATAAATAAGATATGGGGTAAAATTTCCTTAAGTGCCTAAGCAGCTTCGGACCCTAAGTTCCATTTTCAAAGTGATTTAAGCATTAGAAGCCTAAATCCCATTGACTTTCAATGAGACTTTGGCTCCAAGTAACGTAGGTACTACTGAAAATGTTGTCAGTAGTATTATGACCTATAGGTAACGAAGAGAGATTCTCATCTGAAATAGTTTGTACAGTTCTGACCACCCAGGTTCAAGAAAGATGAATTCACACTGGAACAGGTGCAGAGAAAAGCTACTAGGATGATCAGGGGAATGGAGAACCTATCTTAACGAGAGAGGACTAAAAAGAGCGTGGCTGAGAAGGGATATGACTACTCTCTATGAATACGTCCAGAGGGTAAACAGCAAGGAGAGAGAAGAGCTATTTAAGCTAAGGCCGATATTGGCACAAGAACACATGGGTATAAACTGGCCATGAATAAACGCAGGCTGGAAAGTAGAAGGTTTCTAACTATCAAAGGAGTGAGGTTCTGGGGCAGCCTCCCAATAGGAGTAGTAGGAGCAAACAACCTACCTGGTTTTATGATGAAACTTGATAAATTCCTTAACAGGATTAGATGACAGGGTTGCCTGTAATCTCAGGGGACTGGACTTGAGGACTGGAAGGGACCTACCAGGTCATATGTTCCTTTAGCTCAGGTCTAGGACAAATACCTTCCCAACCCTGCCTGTATGAAAGGCTGATGCAAAGCAATCATTTTGTTGCTCTGCCATGTAACTGTTCATTGTACCCCCCTCGTGGTCCAGCCATCCCACCAATTCTCTTGCAGGTTTCCTGCTTCTAAAAGATGTAAAGAACATTGTGTGATATGTTTTTTTATCTATGGCTATAAGCTCTTCAAATTTCTTCATCGCCTTCCTAATTTCCTTCTTGCATTTTTCTGCTGTGGTTTATGCTGCTTTCTAGTGACTTCACTGGGGTTGGAGTTCCATGTTCTGAAGAACGCCTGTTTAACTCAGAGGCCCTGATCCAACTCCCATTGAAGTCAGTGGGCATCTTTCCATTTACTTCAGTGGAGCTGGATCAGCTCCACGTCTTCTTGCACCATGTCATCAGACAATCCTGTCATTTCTCTTGCCTTCCTGTGCCCTTGTTTGTTTCGGCCTATGCATATCTTCTCCTTTAGTTTACAAACACCCCATGTCTAGTCCCTTCTGTTTCTTCTCTCACTTAAGGGCCTGATCCAAAGCTCATTGAAGTTGAGGAATAGAAGCTCATTGATTTCAGTGAGCTTTGGAGCAAGCCCTAAGTTAAAGCCCCTGTATCATTCTGTTTGCTCTCAGCTCCCTTGAGCCTCTTCCATTTCTACAGTGTCCTCTTTGTAATAAGGTGACTAGAACTGTGGCTTCCAGTCTTTAACTCCCCATCCTGCTCAGACTCACAAGCAATAACCCAGCCTTGATTTTTTCCTTTCATTGTTGGTGTTAATAGCTACTCTGGTGGATTTAGAGTCTCTTTTGTGAATTTTCCTGTCCTCCTGATAGCAGCTTGTCCGACCGAGCTTCTATTTCCATACCTTGAGGACACTCCCTGTTTACGAGGCAATAGTTGCATCATGAGCTAAGTAAACCCCAAAGTAGGAGCCAGACCCAAAGCATATGCTCTCTCTTTGTCTATGGAAAACAATACCAAAGAATGCTGGTGACCAGAATGGGACAGTGCAACCATGTCAGTATATTCTTCAGATGTCCTAGTGACATGCAGCGAATTTCAAAGTCCACCTCTGCCTCCTGGCTGCTTGCGGGGCCGGCTCTAGGTATTTTGCCACCCCAAGCTCCGAGAGCACAACTGCCCAAGCAAAAAAAAAAAAAGAATGGCCGGAATGCCACCCCTGGAATTGTGCCGTCCCAAGCACGTGCTTGCTTTGCTGGTGCCTAGAGCCGGTCCTGGCTGCTGGTAACAATTGAATGCTAGGCTTCAGACCCAATGGGCCAGATCCAAAGCTGAGGTGAGTGGAGACATGCCAACTTATACCAGCAGAGGATCTGGCCTAGTATATTTAGCCAGGCTTGTGATCAAGGTTTATTTGTTTTTCCCCAAAACATGTATTCCTGACATTTAAATTACCCCCAAAATAATGCTTGATGTTTCTTCCTCTGTTTGAGACCTTGCTGAGGAAATCAAAGGTTTGAGCTGGTTACCTTCTCCATATTGATCTGTCTTTATAAGAGCTTGATGGCTGGTGGGAATGTTTAGCGACCTGGTCACACTGAACAGGAAGGACTTTTACCTTGAGTTTGATGTCCGAATACGTAGTCCCGTACTTTTGTTCCAGGTATCGGTAGTTGTAGTTGGGAAATGGAGACGGTGTTGGATAATTCCCAGACTTCCATAGTTTCCACAGGTTTAATGCAGCTATTCCCAGCAGAACAAGTGCGCCAGTCACATAGATGCCTATTTCCCACCCGTGTGGACTTCTTATGACTAGAAGAGAGGAGAGTTATTGTCAGGAGTGGGGTCCAGGGGCAGAGATATTAAACCTCATGCTGCAGAGCTTAAACCAATCTCTCAGTGATGAGGATGAGAACTAATGTGTGGCAGAGTATCCTGCATCTGCCTGCCGCAGGGTTTCTTACACCTTCCTCTGTAGCATCTGGTGCTGGCCATGGTCAGAGACAGGATACTGGACCAGAAGGACCTTGGGTCTGATCCAGTCTGGCAATTCCTGGACAAGATATCTAGTGACAGCATTTCACTTCAGAGCAATAGTGCCAGGCTTTTAATGGGGAATGCTGCTAAGTAAACTCATAAAGAGGATTAGGGATCATCGTTAAGTGAATCACAAGGGTATCTGAAGTTATACTAGCCAAGGGCTCTCAATCCTCATGCTTCAGAGCACAGACTGATCACCAGCCAGGGCCAGGAAGGAATGCCCATCCCTGAATTACGGGGGAAAAGGGGGACTGAGCTCAATCTTCTTCTGAAGCATGTGGCATTGGCCACTGTCAGAAACAGGACACCAGACCAGATGGATCATTCATCTGCTCCTGTAAAATGGCAGCTCCTGTGTAATTGTTTCCCACCAAAGAGCTGTGATGCAAATCGCAATCATCGTTTCACTCACTTATGAACGAATTTGTGCCTGGTCGCTTTCATATATTTCAGCCCCCACGCCTATACACAAAGTAAGCCAGATCCTCAGCTAATATAAAGTGTCAGAGCTCCATCAAAGTCAATGGAACTCTGACAATTTACCTCAATAGATGATTTTATACATATATAAAAACAACAAGGAGTCTGGTGGCACCTTAAAGACTAACAGATTTATTTGGGCATAAGCTTTCGTGGGTATGCCCAAATAAATCTGTTAGTCTTTAAGGTGCCACCCGACTCCTTGTTGTTTTTGTAGATACAGACTAACACGGCTACCCCCTGATACTTGATACATATATAAAGTGTACAGAACATACTCTCTGGGTGTAGGAAATACATTGGCCTTTCTACAAGGCCAGTTCCCAATGGGTTAGTGATGCCAAATGAATTTGGGAGAAAGCTTCCTATGTCTATCTGGCTATACAGAGAAAAATCTGCATTCTTCACTGTCAACCTAAGAGAATGCAGGAGTTTGCAGGTACATTTCACAATTGTTGCTGAATTGTGCCAGCATCCATCACATAAAATGATTAAATCTACATCCATCATTCAACATGAAACAAGAAATTAAATCCTTGTCACGCAATGCCACCATGAGATCTGTGCCTCCAGCAGTGAAAGTAGAAGGCTGGCCTTTTCTCTAATAGCAGACCCTTTTCTTACGACAACATTCTGGTCCATTGGCATCATCTCTTGAACAGTCTAAAAAATATACAACCAAGACTTTGTATGAATATCATATTTGAGCAGAACCTACATCCACGCCCTGTCTCTGACAATGGTCAGTGAGGGATGTGTCAGAGGAACCCATAATACTTATAAAATAGATCTAATTGTGATAGAGTGGGGAGAGAAGGGGAGTTTTTCCTGATCATGGCTGGTGATCAGCTTGGGCTGTGAAGCATGAGGTATGCTGTGGTCACTCCTCTTTACACTGACCAGTACTGTCTCATCATTATCTTGTACTTCCCTTTGTCTCTTCATTTGTACTTAGATTGTAAACTCTTTGGGACAGCGCAGGGACCATCTTTTTGTTCTGCTTGTACAGTCCCAAGCTCAATGAGACCCTGATTCCGGTCTGGGGTGCCTAGATTCTACTGCAATACAAAAATAGATGGATCGATAGATGGATTAGATGAAGATGGTGTGCCCTTTTGATTTTTATCCTAGTGGGTGTATCATGATTCATTATGTCTTGTGTAGCACTTGGGAACCCTAATCATGGACCAAGATGCCATTGTGATAGGTACTGTACAAACAACGAACAAAGACAGGCCATGCCCCAATTACAATCTAAGAAGTATTGCAAGTTTTATTCTGTATATGCCCCCCATACTTAGAGCACTTCAAAATATCAATGAATTATTCTCAACACCCCTTAATTCTCCAATTCCTGGCTTACTACACATTGAAGGGTTTATTAAAACTAACATTCCAAACCACTGGTACGCACCGACTTCATTTTAATGTTTTTTTGGGGGGGAAATAATCCCATTTCGCAAAGGTTTCCAATTTAGTAGCCTCAGTAATGCCCTGCAAAAGTGAGTTCTACAGGTGTATACGTTGTGCTCAGAGTACTTCCATGCGGAGCTCTCAGAACTGGTCACTGTACCAGTCCCATCGGACACCCAGAAAGGCAGCTGTTCTCTGTTCTCCAGCTGGGAGAATTACAGCTCAAATCAATCCCAAACAATGTCTCCTAGTGCTTGTTTAGAGGTACTCACCACTGATGCGGTATTCAGCTATATTACTGTCCATGTCCAGCTCTATTACTCTCAGCTAGAGAGACTGCCTGAAATGTACAAACAAAAGTAATCAGGAGAGGAGAAGCACACAGAGAAGAGAGAGGTATTTGATCTCTCACACAAGAGCATTTCCAATCAGTCAGTCACTGGATTTAAATTCTGCCCCGTGACAGATGACCAGATGATCACAGTGAAAAACCAGGGCTTCTGCCACAGGGCATGCACAGGGAAGGGTCTTGGTGAGCATCAGGGAGTTGTGCTTGGAAGGTTTAGCAAAAAAAAGGTTGTCCATTTCTCCCTCTCCTCAGCCACACAGACTCTCCCTGGCCTGCTGCGCTGCATGTGAAGTGCTGGTTCAAAGACTGTGTGGAGGAGGGGGAAGGAGGGAGACACTGGAATCCTACCTGAGAGGAAAGGCAGAGTGTCAGCCCCTGACAGATCTGGTGGCGGAGGTATCTGCCCCAGCCTATTGTCAGTTTCACAGCTCAGCTGACTGGCACTTTCTTCAGATGTCCAGCATGCAAGGGGCTTTACCAGAAACAGGGCCGATCCCTGCAACACCAGGATTGGCTTCCTGATTTCAGGGGCACATGGCATTCTATATGTGACCAATGTAAGGATGGGCTCAAACTAAACCCTGGAGTCAGACACCCCAAAACTTTCTGGGTGGTTGGAATCCAAACCCAGACCTCAGTCTGAACACTGGACTAAACCAAAACTTTGTATATGAAACCTCCATGTTAGGGAGCTCCAGCCCCAGACCTCGATTTCTCTTTAATTCAGGAAGGGGGAGATAGAGCACTAACATTAGCAGAGAGAGGGTCTGGGCACTGCGGCTCTTTACTCAGAGTCTGCTCAGTTGCAGCTGTGACTGTTGCTGGACTACAAGGCCTGGGTTTGACTTTCTGTCATGCGGCCCAGAGAGGGACTGGATGCTGTTCTGGACCATCTGGAGAGAGCTGGTTTGCACTTGACATTATAAGTGATGCACAATAGATACGTGGGAATATGCCTGTGACTATTTATAGACCTCACCCGCTTCCACGCCCCTCCCCACTCCTGCAAAAAAAAGTTTTTTTCCAATGAAACTCGCCGCCCCTCCCCCACATCCTGAACTATAACAAAATGTAATTTTGGTCGACATTTTTTTCTTTTCAATTAAAATAGTTGTAAGCTTTTGTTTTGGTGGGAAGAAAAAAAATCCCATTTTGACTCCTCTCCTTCCCTTCCCCCCCACCCCCCAAAAATAATTTCCCCCTTTTCACCACGGGGGGGGGGGGGG